CTCCATACCATTTATTTCCTTGGCCAAACCCATATCTTTTGAACTATTAGCAGTGTATAACTGTTCCTGCTCTGTCGGGTCTGGTTTTTATATTAACTGAGAGCCAACTTGTAGTATTCAATTATTATGCCTTGATTTATAATCCCGTTTCTTTCTACACAAATACATATTTTTTTGTGTTTTGTCTATTTTCCATTCGACATAATTGATTCTAATGAATTTGTTCTAATGCTTCACGTTTTAAGTGTCCTTTTTGCAGCCATAACTTACGCGTGTAATAGTTTTATTGATTAAATTCAGCGATGTTGCATTTTGTGTGTGCCTTGAATACGCGTTTGTTGCTAGATAGTCCCTCATTTATCGTCTTTTTCACACTCTATAATGTTCGATTTACGTGGATAATATCCACAATTGAATTAAGTGCATTGACAAGGAAAGAAATTACGCAGAAAAAAAATTGTTTACAATGAAAAGTTTTTTTCCATCATCCTGCTTATAAAGAAAAGATACAGAATAAATATTAATGGCTTTTTATAAAATTTAATCAAGAGAAACGTCAGCTTAGGGAAAAAGTCCTATGATACATCAATCATACACAGAAATGCATACATATTTCTTTCTTTCGTTTTTAGATCTGATAAAGCCTCAGAGAGTCAGTGATGTGCCATGCGCGATACACGCTTAGGCGATCATGTATCTTTCGATACATGGCTGACGAGGCAGATTTTTTCCCGCTGTAGGTTGCCATTTCTTTCTGCGATAGATCAATTGCCATCCATGGCTATAGAACCCGGTCTGTCCTCCTATTGACTCCTAGCTGGGGGGAGAAGAAGAGGATTCATATCTTTCCCAAGGATATTAGCACGTAAGTGAATGTAATAGAAGCACGTAAGTGAATGTAATGGATCTGACTGGAACTCAGCTTTCTGATTCTTCAACCCGAGCTGCTATCCATTACTCCACCGTGCCTCCTGATGAAGCCTAGAAAGGCGAAACGCGTAATCAAATTTAGCTTCACTGAAACGGTCTTCAGTTTGTCAAATTTCATCAATACTTTGTCGGTATTCTATATCCTATTTTAAACACAGACATACAAACACACACACATAAGTGATGAGTCAAAGTGGAAAATTTATTAACCACGCGTTTCGTCAGAGCATCAGTTCTTTTTGCCTTTCTCGGGTTAGAATGAAAGAAAGACGAAACAGTGTGTGAGGGAAAATATCTTGGGATCTTTGAAGATAATAGCTGTCACAAATTAAATTAGATCCTTATCACCTCCAATGTACAGAACTCAAGAGAGTGTGTGTCTGCCTATTTGTATTCGGATACGACTACAGCCTACAAATACGCATAGAGATATATGAACAAAGACTAATGGAAAAAGAACTATTCTTTACTGACCCGTATCATCCCCTGATGGATTTTTCAAAGGTAAATGTCCCATTTTATTGTGCAAAACACACACACACACACACAACATACATATATATATATATATATATATATATATATATATATATATATATATATATATATATATATATATAATATTATGAAATGGATTAAGCCAAACAATTATTTAATACATATTCAGTTTATATGTTTTTATTCTAATAGATATAATTTATTTAAGTAAATGTTCTGTTTTTAATTAAAAAACAGAGCATTTACTTAAATAAATTGTATCTATCAGTGTGAAAATAAACAGATAATATATTATCTATAATTATATAATATATATATACAAATACATATATACATATACATATATTAATATATATATATATATATATATATATATATATATACATATATATATATATATTTATATATATATATATACACATATATATTTATATATACATATACACACATATATATATATATATATATATATATATATATATATTTATATTTTATATATAAATTTAAACCCGGATATAAGAGAAACCCGGATATAAGAGATTTTCTCTGGTCACAAATTAGAGCCTGTGTTAATGTATATATAAATAGACCAAACCCGGATATAAGAGAAACCCGGATATAAGAGTTTTTTTTCTCTGGTCACAAATTAGAGCCTGTGTTAATGTATATAAAATAGACCAAACCCGGATATAAGAGAAACCCGGATATAAGAGAGATTTTCTCTGGTCACAAATTAGAGCCTGTGTTAATGTATATAAAATAGACCAAACCCGGATATAAGAGAAACCCGGATATAAGAGACTTCTCCGGTCTCGACAACTCTCTTATAAAAAGGTTACACTTGTTGTGTATATATATATATATATATATATATATATATATATATATATATATATATATATATATAAATGAATGTATAACCTACGCCAACAGTACTAGGAGTTTCATGTAGGCGTAGAATATTATATATATTTATTACTTAATAGCTCTGTTATTTTGCATAGAGCACTGTTTTTTTTAAACCTAAGTGTGTATAGATAGATAGATAGATAGATAGATAGATAGATAGATATGAACAAATGAAAAAAAAAAAATTTTACCGACCCGTTTCATCCTCCGATGGATTTTTCAAAGCATTTTGTAAGGCAAATGCAAAACACAGACATGTATATTATGAAATGGATTAAGTCCGACAATTCTGTTTAAACGTCATTAGATACAATTTATTTAAGTAAATGTTATTGTTAAGTTATATTCTTCGGTCACTTCATTTATTTGGAGGATTAATTTCTTTCATATAATAATTTTACACTCACACTGGAGTATTTACAACTTTTGAATTTACGCACATTTTAAATAATCGTGAATTTACATGTTTTAGAGACGCACTCAAAATCTTCCTCCATTTATTACTTATCTATTCATACCAATTTTGATAGAATAATTTTGCCAACGTTGGTCGCTGAAGAAGTCTTGACCGAAAGGCGCCTTGGTTAAAAAACAAAAAACAAAAACATGAACACTAAACTGTTTGTTTAAATCACTCAATCAATCAATCAATTAATCAATCAATTGGGCAAATTGAGGACACAATTGAAAAACATTTTTTTGTGACACGTTTCGTCCTTTCTGACGACATCGATCTATGTTTTTGTTGATGTAATTTAATTATGAAGAGAAGGGTGAATATAAAAGCTGAACGTTGGTACGTAGAGATATTATATAATTATAATATTAATTATAATATAATTATAATAATTATATAATATAATTAGATAACGTATAGATAGGAAAACGCTGAAAATGTTGGAGCGTTGTGATATTAAATTTTTATGATTTACTTTTTTGTTAGATGTGTCCGGTTAGTTTCCTTTAGTTTCTTAATGTTTTTTAAAAAAATTTTATTATGAAGTATTTTACTAATAAATACATGTACTAAAATGCAAGAAAATATGAATACTATGAAATGTTTAGTCGCAGTGCTTTTATCAGTCCTCTTTAATGAAATTTAAAATATGATATTCTTAATGTTTTGCGATGGTTATATTCCACACACACATATGTGTGTGTATATATATATATATATATATATATATATATATATATATATATATATATATATATATATATATAATTAAAAAAACAGACCACTTTTAAGGTTCCGTGTAATAAATTATTTCACCGCTGCCCTTTTAAAGGACTGCGGATCATCAGACTTTACTTCCAAAGGTTGAAACAAAAAATGAAAAGAAATTTACACGTTTTTGACGGGCCGTAAGCATATGTAAATTAACGAAGTGAGGAAGTGAGGGGAGAGAGAGAAGACATAGGTGAGTTAGATGTAATTTAAAATTTCTATTCTTTTATACTCAAAATCTTTCATAAACTATATATATATATATATATATATATATATATATATATATATATATGTGTGTGTGTGTGTGTGTGTGTGTGTGTGTGTGTGTGTGTGTGTGTACTTCAAACGTTAGTTTTAGTTAGTGGCTGCACATATTTGAGTAGACGTTCTGTTTACTTTTAAACAGTATTTATTTCATGTGTACACGGGAGAAATTAATGAAGACAATTTTTACCTGTAATCTTCCTTTTGCAAGATGAGTCGATAATTTAAACGAGTAAGGTCAGTTAAGAGAAGTAAAAAAAGCTGTTAATTAAACTTCCGCGCGGAAAATGTTCCGCAGTGAATGTAGTTAAACAAGGCCAGTAATTGACCGACGGCTGAACGTGACTGAGTCCGAACTTTTATTGTCGATAACTCCAAAACGGTAGGTTTTATTAAATTTTAATTCTTATTTCGAGTTCAGCATGTACATTTACACGGAAATATGACGATTTGGGAGAATTTTAATAGATATTTAGCTCGGGGCTTAAAAAGCAAATTTACCGATGAGTCTTCGTTTGATCTGACGTGCTTTGACCGCACAGCTTCGCGATGAAGCAAAATCCTATTTTGCCTATAACCACATTCATTCAACGTAAACAAAGGACATTGTAAATGTAAAGAATTAACGGATTTTATTTAAATTTAACTTAAAAGAAAACATTAAAATGAAAATGTGTGTGTGTTTTTTATAAAGTCCGTGGGTGGGTAGGTAAAAGTTAATATGAGAAGAAGATTGTGTTACCTCAAACTTCCAAAAATGGGTTTGTCAGACGAGGAATTCAAAATCTAGTTTAGCCAAGGCTAAAAATGTTATTTTAAGTTAATGGTTAAGAAAATCATTATTATCCAATGAAAAGGTTTGCTTTTGTTATGGGGTTAGCGTATCAAAGGAAGGGGAGAGTAACATCAAAAGAGAAACAGCAAAAGGAAATGTCAAGTGAAGTAAGCAATGCTAAAGTCATTTCATGACAGGGAGAGAGCAAGAGAGCGGAAAAAGCCGAAAAGAAGACGTGACGAATCGTTAAGTGGAATTGAAAACGAGGCTGGCTAGTCGTGACTGATTGTTGCAGTTGTTTAGTCTGGAGCCAAATGGCGACTATGGAGGGTCCAAGTGAAAGTCTTCATGAATATCCATTTGAATTAACTGAAGTCCCAAGGCTTAGCTTTGATGATCCACAAGCAGAAAGACTTATTAGCAATCAGGTAGGACTTTAAAAACTATTTTGCTTCTAATCAACATTTTTTGTTATAGTATTGGCATTTTTTTTCAACCTCTTGTTGATTTTCCTATCTGACTTATTTTCTCTTTCAACAGAAAACGTAAATAAACAGAGATCGGCGATTAATTTTTCGGTTTTTTAGATAAACAAAAATGCATTGAATTAGAGAAGAAAGTCATATTATGTTTAATTTTAAAATTGGTGACTGATTTTTTTTTTAAATTAAAAAAAGTAAAACTTAAATTATTTTTTTTTTCGGCTGACTTTATTTATTATTCATTTTTTTGAAATTTAAATCCCAAAATACGCCTCGATTTATTTTCAGTTTGTTTTTTTGTTTTTTGTCGATTTCAGTATTTTTTGGTTTTATTTGTGACTTTTAGGTATTTTTTCTTACTGTAAAAAGAAAACTATAAAAAAAATATAGAATATTTAGAAAATATTATTTATTTCTCAACAGTTTTCATTCATAAATAATATTTATTTTTTTATGTTCTTATTTTTGGTGGCATTTTTCCAATTAAATGTATATTTTTTGCCTATTCATAATTCATTTACTTTTCTTTCATCTTTTGCATTAAAAAAATAGTACTGATTGCCAAACCAAATTTGAAATTGTCCTTACAAAGGAAATCAAATTGTATTTTTTTTTTTTTTTAATTAAAATAAAAATCGAAACACAAGAAAATGCCCCCACCAAAAAAAACTGCGTATTTTTTTTGGTGGGGGGAATGTTAAAAACTAAAAAGTAAATTAAAAATATGACTTTTTTACGCACAGAATCTAAAACTAAGAAAAATATCTTTAAAAAAAGAAAGAAAAAAATGATAACTTTAAAGTTTATAATTTTTTTTCTTTTAAAATGTATCAAGTGCAGCAACAATAACAAATTTTGTAGTTTACAGTTGCTGTTATGAAAACATTCATCAATTTCAATCAGTTACAAGTAAAATAAAAAAAATACTTAGAAATAGAAACAACTATTTTTCTGCTATTTTTATTTTTATTCTTTTTGTGTATTATTTTGTAACAAAATACACAAAATCGTTTTAAAAAACTAAAGATAAAAATTTAAAAAAATCTTTTCTTGACTCTCAGATCAAATTTAAAAAACAACTGGACAATTAAATGTCTACAAACAAAGAAACTTTGTTTCAATTTTAAATTAAATATCAAATCTGCTTTTAGTATTTTATTGTAACTGGACACCAAATGCCATCATCACATTATTATTATTAATAATAATAAAAACAACGTAATAAGGGGCGCTAAACTAAACTGTAAGATTGGCGTTCACTTCGATTCGTTATGTGAAAAAAAATCGCCCAAATTTTCTTCATTCTTAGCCTCTTAGGTCTTATTATTATTATTTTAATGTTTATTTCAGTCTTTTTAAACCCCTAACCAATAATCAATTAATAATTTGTTTCGATTTCGGTAACGCTCTAATCACAAAAACGTTTTTCCGAAATAAATGAAAAATACGTAAAAAGGCAAATTAACTGCGTCAAAATTTATTTATGTGTTTTTTATTAAATAAATAAATTATAAATAAAATGCGAATAAAATGCATTTTTTTTTAAATCGATACTTGATAAAAAATAATAATAAACTAAAAATAAAAGCCAGAAAATAAATCTACGAAATTTTGTTTACAATTTTCTTCATCTGAAAATATGCAATTATTGCGCGTGTGATTTTGGAGAGAGGCAAAAAAATAACAAGTCATCAAAAAAGATTGTTTTCTTGATTCTCTAAGAAGAAGCACTTTCAGCACTAATGAGAAACCCATATCGATTTCTATATGTAAAATAAAAACTTCTTATCAAGTGCCGTATTTCTTTTCTTTTTTTTCTTTTAACTCATATTGGCTTTACATTTTCATCGCAATAAACCATTTTGCCCCACTTTATTTCCCCATGGTCATTCAACAAATTGAATGACTATTGGAAAATAATCTGTTTTTTTTTTATGGTTTATAAACTCTTTTTTTTTTTTTTTCCTAACAAAGTAGTTTTTTTTTTTTTTCGTTATTGGAGTGACCAGAAAATACGTAGGGCAGAGGTCAGTTTGAATTTCGTCATTGGTACCAACCAAAAATATGTTTTCTTTTGGTTTGAATGTTTGACGCTTAGTAAAAATTTTCGTCTCAATGTGTACTTTCATAAACAAACGTTGAAAAACCTAAAATTAAAACAATAATAATAATAAAAAGAATGTGATATAGAGACTTACAAAAAAAAAGAAAAGAAAAAAGATAATTAATTATCGAACGAGTTTTCCATCTTTTCTTTTTATTGCGAATTAGAATTGTCAAGTGAAAACCTTGATTTTATTTGGTGGAGGTAGATTCAAAATAAATAATTCAATCAGCTGATTTTTTTAGGGAAGTTAAACTTTATACCCGAATCGGAGTTGTCATTTTAGAGCATTTTCAAGAACATCACAAGAAGAACATCACTTATTATATTTTTGCTACTTTAATTATTCAATCTTTTTAAACATTTCATGTTATCTTAGAAAACAAATAAAAAAAAAAACTCAATTTGTTAAAAAAAAAAAAAGACATTTTTTCGGCAATTGTTTTTATTTTGCCATTTTTTCATCTGTCATGTCATTGTCAATTTCATTTTTAAAGTTTTTTTTTTTTGTCTTGTGTCCATGATTAAAAAAAACTTTTAATTGTTATTGTGTTAAAAAAAAAGTATATAGTTCGATACCGATCGATATTTTTCGACATCACCAATTGAAGCAACTGCCTTTTTTCTTCATCGTATGAATTATTATTCCACATAAATCTCATTGTTCATTCTTTTCTTTTTTGAGATTTTTCTGTGATAATTTTTTAGGGATTTCCTTTTTAAATTAATTGCCAGCCTATGTACTGTTACTTAAATAAAAAATATTTTTCTTAAATTTATTGTATGAATCCTGAATGCTGGTAAAAGAAAAATGTTATTAAACTAAGAAGTGGAGATCCGAAATTCAATTCAGTCAATAAAGTCTTTAAGTGAAATGAAACGTCTTCTTGTTAATGTTAAATAACCGAGGAGTAATCTTACATACACACTTGAAAGACGAAGCTAAACGCCCCCAAAAAGTATTTTTCTTTTCATGTTTAGTTTACTCATGAGAACAAAAAAAAACGAGCAAAAATACTCATTCTTACAGAACTTATTTTTTCCTAAAAAGTAAAAACACTGGAAGTATTTTTTTCTTTTTTATTACATTTATTTAGTTACTTCACACAAAAGCAAAAATGATTGAATTAGACACGTGACTCTCGTCAGATTATTAATCTTATTCTTAGTGATTCTTTACTTTATCGTATTAATAAAAATAGATTTCAATCATTTATTTTATCAATTGTCAATTCGAATTATTAAAAAATGTCCATAATTGTTATCCCGAATTGTACGTGTGTCTCTTTTTGGCACGTTTTTCAATCACCCTTTCTTTCTTCAAGATTCCTGAAGAAAAAGCGAAGTGTTGAAGCAACATTGATCACGACTAAGTGTTTAGTTTAGTTGTATGATAAACAACTAAAGAAGTGTTGATGACGGTATTTTTCTTATTGTTGATCAATTCTTTTGAAGAAAGAAACAAAAACCTCTTGAAATATGAATGTTATTGAACATGGCTTTTTTCTTCTCTAGTATATAATAATTTCTACTTTGATTTGTCTATGATCCAGAGTAGCTTTCTAGAAAATATTGGTCCGTACAAGACACACATAAACACATTCACGACTATTCAGAATAAATTCTACTATCCAATGTGCTGGTATTATAATAGATGACTGATACGATAATGAAGATGTACTACTTAAAAATACTAGTTTTAGAAGGAGATAGTGATTAATTTCGATAAGGAGTCGCCCATATAAAACTGTCTGTCAATGAAGAACGTTAGATGTTTTGCTTTTTTGGAAAGGTTTAAAGACAAATGTAAACTTTAGTATAAAAAAAAAGAAGCAATATTGCAAAAAAAAAAAAATGATTTGTCGTTTAAAAATGATCTGGATTCGTTCGACCTTTTCTTTTCGGGGTTTTCTTCACCGCCCTTTCCCTTCGCCTTAACCGGCTATGTACATTTTTCTGGCACCCACCCCTGCAACCCTTGGATAGTCGTAGCAACGCAACGTAGCAACTCGTCTTCAAAGGGAGGAACAGGGCTCATTCTCCCGGCTTTCGCGTAGCCAACTACCTACCCACCCTACTGCTACCACTTACTCATATTCCTTACTTGAGTTCCTTACATTTCTCTTTGTCTTCTCTCCTCCTACTCCGGCCTACGTGATGTCCGAGCTCCATTATGAACAAAGAAGAATCCCATACCTTGCTTTGTCACGTACCATCCACTGAAGAAATATATTTATATTACCTAGGACAGCAAGAATCGATCTAACCAAATTCTGTTAAATTCTACTAACATCGTCTGTTTAATTTTGTTTATTAATTTTTTATTTTTTTCTGTTTTTGATGAAAACATTGAGATCAAAATTGTGGATAGACGTGTTTTTATAACTGTTAGTTCACCCAATACAAGGCCCAGGGACCACTCAATATAGAGACTTACTGAGTGAGATTATTATAATGGAGTGGCAAATAAGAAAGTATTATGAGGAGGAGTAAGATAGCTATCAGTTGACACTGGACTTCAAAAGACCAGTATTGTAGTTGTCAGGGAAGCATTATCTCAGGAGTTTGTTTCCACAAAGTAATAATTCTGGGAGAGAAGCTATATGAGTGGAACATTCCTTATCAAAGGAATGGGGATGATTTGCCACTGTAAAAATGGCATAGCGGGTTCTAGCTGTGAAGGCCAGAACTGGTAAAACATCTTCCATAGAAATACTGAGAGGGCGGTAACATTTTGTCGGTGGACGTGGGGCTTTGCTTGCAGGAGGGAGAATAATTCATAAGGATGTACAATTGTTTTCAAACTTTATTGAGGCTGAACAGTGAGGATTAGGCAGTACCTGCCCAGATATGGCAGCAATATTCCATTTTAGGTCTGATCTGGTATTTTCTGCAGAGACTCAAAAAACCGACCCTTCTTCCGGTATCTTTCATTCCATTTGAAGTCGGTAGTGTTGTAGAGTAAATAGTACATATAACTATAAATAAAGAGCTCCATAGCAGAGGTGAGAAAAGGAAACCAGTTTTCAAACTAATTAATACGAACATTATGGAAAGTTGCCGAAGTATATTATAAGCGCTACAAAGTGTGTTGAGGAGGCATGGTGGAGTAAATGGATAGCGACTTGGATTGAGGAATCGGAGAGCCGAGTTCAAATTCCAGTCGAATCCATTACATTCACTTACGTGCTAATACGCTTGGGAAAGGTGTGAATCCTCTTCTTCTCCCTCCAACTATGGGTAAATAGCAGGACAGACTGGGTTCTATAGCCTTGGATGGCAACTGGTCTAGGAGAAGGACAACTCTGAATTCAAACCCGGAGTGGAGCCCCTAAGGCAGATGGACAGCACTTTGTGCTACCTTCCGGCAACTCCTGCAGCCTCGCTGGTACCAAACTGTATTGGTTTATCCTCTCCTTTGGACTATGCTAGCATGGCCAAGAGGGGGAACTAGATGTCTGGGCAGCCCTAGTTCTCCATATATCCCACCCAGGCTCGTAGCGCACTACGCACTACTCCATCGTCTCTCAAGACGGATGGATGCCGATGACAACAAAGCGTGTTATAATAGTTGTAACGATGGATTCAAAACAAGGATTTGGAACTCTTATGACTTATAACTGGAGTAACAAGGATTTTGGAAATTCATATTGACTGAACAAGTACAGAAAAAATAAGTATTTGTGGTTTCAGGAACAAGGAGACAGGTGGTGACAACAAGAATTTTAACCACATTGGTTTGTGTAGAAGAAAAAAAGTTTTTTTTAAAAAATGTTCTTGTGAATATAGAGCAAATTTTGGCTTCGATAGTTGAATTCAGCAACAACAGAAACAGCAATAACAACAAAATCAGCAGTTGCTAGAACTACAAAAACAGCAACAGTTGTTGGATATAATTCTGTAGAAAACAAAAATTTTTTCAATATCTCTTACGCCAGGTGCTGTCCAAAACACCATATCAGAATTTGTATACAATCCTGATAAAGTTTTCTGAATATTTTCGTAGATATGAACAAATATGAAGTCTGGAATGGAACAGCTGGGAAGATGAGAGAAAAATGAAAAATTGTTGAAGAAAATAGTTTTCATAGAATATGAAAAATACTACAACTACATATTATCAAAAAAAACGAAAAAATCAGGTGAAATCAAGTTTGAAAACATGGCATACACATTCTGACGAAAATCTTTAGTGACAAGAGCGCTCTGTTTAATGCTCATTGGGGGTGCTTGAATCTAACCAAAAAAGAGGAAGATTTTGTCATGTATGCTGGTATTGTTAATGATGAATGTGAAAATTTTAGAATAAGGAAATGACTCCGGGTTAATTTTTGTTCAAGGTTTAACAGCTAAAAAAGATGCTGAAATACGAACAAAAATCTTAATGAAAATTGAATAAAATAGTAATATTACACTGCAAGAAATAATAGATGATTGCCAGACAATTCTAAGTCTGAAACACGATGCTGAAGAAATTCAGAAAAAGAGAATGTGTATTGGTACAAGAAATGAACAAATGTACAAAAAGGAAAATAAATGTTTCATATGTGGTAAATTACATCTTGGAAAAGTCTGTCCATTTAAAAATACAGAATGTTACAAGTGTGGTAAATGAAGACATAAAAAGTCACACTCCAAAAAGCAAGCCAGAATAAATTCTCACAGGAAGAAATTCATACATGTCATGGTGGCAGAAAAAATGGTCTCAGGAAACAAAATGAAATTTGTGAATGTGAAAATAATAAATAATGTGGGTTTGAAAATGCTACTGGATACTTATTTCAATAATCAGTGAAACCACATGGAAGGAAATTGGAAAAATTTTATTAAAAAGGACTTCCAAAGTCACAATTTCAGTTTCTAGTGAGAATTTTTTTTTTTTTTTTGAGAAATTACTTGTAATGTCTCATTCTGTATTAAGCATGCAAAAACTAAAGTTTATTTATTTAAAACATGCTACAAATTTATTCATCACTGACTGGATGGAACTATTTCAACTTTGGTATTTGCTGATAAACGTTTATTGTAAAAACGTAAGTGTACAAGCAACCAATTTAAAAAGTCAGAGCAAAAATCTTAAGGAAGAATTAAAAAATGTTTTCCAGATGTTCTGTCAAATAAACTTGGTCAGTGTTCAAAATTCAAGGCGGATTTTCAAGTAAAGAAAAAACAATGATAACATTTGTGTTTGCATGGATTTCTCAACAGGATTAAACAGTTGTTTAGAAACGCATAATTATCCATTACCAATCCAGAGGAAATAAGTTAAATGGTGTAAAAATATTTTCAAAGCAGGATCTCTCTGAAGCGTATTTACAAATTCAGATTGAACATGAATGTTCAGAATTAACAACCATAAATACACACAGAGGATTATATAAGTTTAACTGACTTTCTTTTGATATAAAGGTGGTACCAGCTATTCTTCAACAAGCTATGGATAACATGCTGGCAGATTGTGATTTCACAGTGGCATATCTGGACGACATTTTAATCAAAAGTGTGTGTAAAGAACATATGGACATGGGTGAACAGTTTTGGAAAAACTAAGCGAGTATGGATTCAAGCTCTGAAGAAAAATGTGAATTGTTTTTGCTGAAAATTAAATAGCTTTGTCAAATTATTGATAAAAATGTTCATCAACCAGTTCAGGCAAATGCAATTAAAAATATGCCTCCACCAACAAATGGGACTACGTTAAAAATTTTTCTAGGATTGGCTAATTACTATCAAATATATGTACATATGTATAATTTGATAGCTTCACTGAATGATCTACTTAAAAAAGGAGTAAAGTGGAACCAGCATGATAACTGTCAAAAGGCATTTAACAAAATAAAAAAATCAGATTTATCATTAGCACACTACAATCCAAAAGCAGAAATTGTAATTGCATCAGATGCTAGTAAGTATGTTATTGAAGTGGTGATTTTTACACACATATGATGGTGATAAAATGAAAGCAATCGCTAATGCTTCACACTCGCTTCTACTAGCAGAGAAAGATTACAGCCAGATAGAAAAAGAGGCTCTAACAATTATATTTGCTGTGAAGAAATTTCATAACTTTATTCATGGAAGAAATTTTAGGTTGGAAACAGACCATAGTTCTCTATTAATAATATACAGATTAAAAAAGGAATACCTATGAATACAGCTAATAGACTACAATGCTGAGATACCATCTTATTAAACTATGATTTTTACGATGGAGTACCAACAATATGAAAAATAATGACATTTGGATGGATTATCAAGATTATCAAAAATGTGGAATCATTTGAAGACAGAGTCAAGACAGACATGCTGTGATCAAGACTGTGTATAGATTTTGCAGGTCCTATGAATGGATCACTTTATCTTGTGGTAGTTGATAGTTTCACTAAATGGCTAGAAATTTATAAGTGCAAAAACCCAGCATCTTCATGTTCTAAGACAATATTACAATGGAGGCTGTGATGAATGCCTTTGTCAATGTCAAAGATGGTTGATTAGTAATTAATGTTTTTGACCAATTTTGGTTTGTTTTTCTTGTGACTTTCAAATCATCATTCCACAATCATTAAATAAGCAGCAGAGATAATAAAAGCAGCAGAGATAATAAGTAAAAAATACAAAATATTTTAACAAAATTCTAATTTGCATCCCTCCTTATTTGGGATGAGTAAAGATGGCAGCTTATCACATTTTTAAGGATTGAGTTTTTATGTTTTATTATTGGTTATTAATTTGTTTTTTTTATTTATTGTTGGTTACTTAAAGCTAAAATATATTTTGGATTGTAAAACTAATTCTTTCTTTTTTTTTCTTAGGATTTGACATTGCATTAATTCTTTGTAGATAATGATTTTTACAGATCCAAATTCTACTATTGGACTCATAACTTGGGGGTGGGTAAAGTGGTTGATTCCTACCTTTCTCAAGGATATCTGTGCATAAGTGAATGTAATGAACCTGACTGGAATTCAAACTCGACTGTAATTTCTCATTCTGAATCACTATTACACCCCCTCCCACAAATCTCACATTTGTAGGGAAAAAATATAGAATAAAATTTATATTGCTAGATTTTAGTGACTGGTTGATTTTTGTAGCCTAATTGAAAATGCAGCTTCAAAGGTTTTCATGATTCATTGGAATGAGAAGGTGCTGAAAAGTTCTCAGCTCTATCCACTTCCTAAAATCTGACCAAATGATCCTATATAATTTTTTTTACTCACATTTTGGTTGGGCTGAGAACTTGTTGTATTCCTTATTTCTGCTTCAATCTGCTTTACCAACAATCTGAAAGTTACAATAAAATGTAACTGAAATTAAGATATAAATTAAAGAAAACTAATAATATCTATCACTGTTCCTTTTAAAAATTCAAATACTGCAACTAAATGCCAGTTATGTTAACATAAGCAAGTCTAGAAAATTCTCCTTTTCTAATTTTTTTTTTTCTCGCATCTCTGGTGGCACTAGCACTCGTCATGATCTAGAAATTTTGATAACAATCTTGTGACAGCAACATTTAATCTGTTCCAGAAAATTAGCTTCAAAAACTGAATGATTTATTTTATACCTCTTAAATAGATTTTCAAGTCATGCATTCCTCATAAATTGTCATCCGATAATCAAGCTCTTTGTCAATGATTTGCCACAATTTGCTGACCAGAAATGAAAATAAATCCATGATAATTTGTTGACAACTAATTCAGTAAGCATTACTTAACACTTTTATAAGTGATAAGCAGACATTTGTCTTCTGAAAAGGTTTTGCAGTTAATTTCTGTTTAAATTTCTGGGATCAGGCTACTGTCCTCATTTTTGTTTTTGTTATCAAAATGGTTCAGCCATTATTCCATCCAACCTTCTTCAGATATCCATTAATCCAAGTAACGTTCAGGGAATTTCAAACTAAACACTTTCTCTTAACTACAGAAGTAGATTGTTCTTGTACCACTGTCCATGTCTACGGACTCTTTGTTCTAGATTCAGGATTGTCCCACAAGACAATAACTGAATGGATTAAAATGTTAGGCTGTGAATTTTGATGATATAGTAATTGTGAGTTCAATCCCTGGGTTGGGTACTACAGAATTAGTAGAAACAGAGTGAGCAATAACTGAGCAGTACTAAATCAGAACGAGGGTAGATATTCCTAGTCATGGACAATGGGATGAGAACAGCCTAACCTTGGAGATTAAATAAAAGGTTCAATTCTAAATTCATTGAAGATTATCTGGATTAGCAGAAGAAGGCTAGAGTATACAACAGCCAAAACATTGTGATAATAACAACCAAGATGAGGACAAAAGTCCCAGTGTAAATAATCATTACGTTAAATAGGAAAGCTTTTTGCTTTTTGATGATGACTGTAAATTTTTATTTACAAAGAATTACAAAATAAAAAGTAATGTCTGCCCTTGGTCAACAATGTCTTTTTTCTCCAAAATTTTGGCTGGATAATAACATAGCATTTGTAAAGCATGTCTGGAAATTTTTTATTTGGTCATTCTATTTTCATCTTTCTTCTCGCATCATTTATCAATTTCATCACACTTTCTTCCTAAAAGAACATCTAGAAATAATTGCTTTGAGAAAAAAAAGTCTAGAAATAATTGCTTTGAAAAAAAAAAACGTCTAGAAATAATTGCTTTGAAAAAAAAAAAACATCTAGAAATAATTGCTTTGAAAAAAAAAATGTCTAGAAATAATTGCCTTGAAAAAAAAAACATCTAGAAATAATTGCTTTGAAAAAAAAACGTCTAGAAATAATTGCTAAAAAAGCGTCCACAATATTTGCTTAGAAAAATTGCTCTCATGATTAATTTGTAACATATATTACTTTCTCTTCCAATGCATATTGTTACTCTCAAGTGCAGTAACTAATTTCTTGATTTCTATCAAGGTTCTTTTTACTGTTGTCATAACAGGATGTGACAACACAACTGTGAAATTCAAACACTTGCTCATTTTGTGTTTGGAGTCAGCAGTTGATTATAGACTACTAAAAGTTAATGATCATTTTAATAAATGCATTTCTCCACTTTAAACCTTAAAAAAATAAAGAGACATTGGTTTCCTAATGACCAAATAATAGAATATAAATTTCATTTAAAATGATTGTTAATTTAGGCCCAAACAAAGGCAAGTAAAGAGACATTTGTTTGCTTGACACCTAAATGTCTACTTAGAATTACATGTGGACATTATATTAATGCTGTCATTACATGTGGACATTATATATGAATTAAAATAAATTTGCACAAAGGATATATTCTGAGTTGACATTTACTTTTTTTTTTTTTTAAGTGTGTAATTGCTAAAGGTATCACTCACAAAAAATATTGGCTGGAGAATAGCATAGCATTTGTTTATCTTTTCTTTCCTCCATCTATCCCTCTTTTGTTCTCATCCCTCCTCTCCCCCTTTCACTCTCACCCCTTCTCTCTCCTCCTCTCCCACTTTCACTCTCATCCCTCCTCTCCTCCTTTTGTTCTCATCCCTTCTCTCCCCTCCCTCACTGGAATCCCTTCTCTCCCCTCCTCTCACTCTCATCCCTTCTCTCCACTCTTCTCAACTCTCATCCCTTCTCTCCCTCCCTCCCTTTTGTTTCATCCCTCCTCTCCCCCCTTTCACTCTCATCCCTTATCTCCCCCCTCTCCCACTTTCACTCTCATCCCGTCTCTCCTCCTTTTGTTTTCATCCCTTCTCTCCCCTCCTCTCCCCCTTTCACTCTCATCCCTCCTCTCCCCCTTTTGTTCTCATCCTCCTCTCATCCTTCCCCTTCTCTCCCCTCCTCTCAATCTCATCCCTTCTCTCCCTTTTGTTCTCATCCCTATTCTCCATCCCCGCCCCCCCCGGAGATTCCCTTATCTTTCCCTTTCTTCACTCTCATCTACAGAGGCCTTGACTTGAAAAATTTGTTTACAACTTGCCAAACTTGTCATAATGCATACTTTCAAGACAGATTTTAATTTCACACAAATTAGCATTTATATATTTTCTTATTTCTACACTTGTGTAAGAATGATTGGTGTGAAAAGTGAACGCTTTAGTGTACTGAGTTCCATTTTCACACTAATACCTTTGGGAAAGGCATGAATCCAGCTCTTATTCTTCAGCTATCAGTTAAATCACAGGGTAGACTGAGTTCTCTAGTCTTGAGTGGCAGCCACACTACTCGACTCCTAGTTCCAAACCATGAAGATGTCAGTGGGAAAACTCTCCACTATTTTTTCCCCAAAATGTTAAGGCAAGTCACAGATAAAAGAAAAAAAGGAATCTGTGGAGAGCCATGATTGCCTATATTCTAAAGGGACATGGTATGTTAAACAAAACCAAATCCAAACGATCTTCTTACATTGCTCATTTGTATACAGAATTGTTAAAGGATTTGTGTATTATCATGTGTCTCATCTCTGTCGTTACTGAGCTGGAATCAGTTATCTTTGCTTTGTGACTGAGAAATCTACATGTGGGGGATAGGATGAGGAAAATCAGTCATGGGGAGAGTCTGGGTGGAGGAGTGAATGAATACAGAAAAATACTGAATAATAATCAATGTTACTAAGTTACTAATATTTCGGTCTGATTCCTGAAGAACCTTTAATATATTGAAACTTTTTTTATGCTATTGTTCACACAATACAATCCCAAGAGCCAGTCAAGGTAGAGGGTTACTTTTTCTTTTTTTTTTTTCACATTTAATTCTAATAATTATTAAACACAATCAAAACTCTTCTTTGTCTTTAGTTCTACACTATAAAATCAGTCCTTTCAACATTTAAACGGCTCGTCAACCACTGTTAAGCCTCCTTGGGGTTCACTTTGCACAAGTGGATCATCAGTTTTGAGATAATGAATAATCTCAATTGTCAGCACCTTTGGAATTTTCATAGGTCCAATTGATTGCAGCTGCTCAGACTATACCTAAGGATATGGCTTGTTAGAATATAAAACTTTCTTAAAGTCAATTTAATGTATAAATATTTTTTAGCTCTTCAGCACACACATATTGCTATTGACTTGTCATCACTGATTATGGATAAAACAGCTTTTCTCTCTTTTTGCCTGATTTGTAACTTTCTCAGTATATTCATTCACTTTTGTTGTGTCCTAATTTTTGATTTGCATAATGCAGAACTTGATACAATGCTCATCTACTTGTGTATGTGTGCGTGATTCAATCATCAAAGGTTTGTGGTACTTTTGTCATGATGCAGGCATCAGGGAGTGCTGCTTTTTAAGTGCAATGAATAGATGCAGTCTGGTTATTATGACTGCTGATCATATTTACCCCTTTCATTTTTTTTATTCATTAGGAGAAACACTTAAACTCGGATAACCACTTGAAACAAAAGTGAAAAGAGGGAAAGAAAAATGAAGAAATGGCACCATTTTGCTATTTGCATTCTCATGCAGAGTACATAAAAAAGAACGTGAAATCTGATCCCTTCAGCGCATAATACACACCCCAATAATTGGTGGGATTAAGATTCTAAAATTTAATCAATTACTCATTTTTATATTTGAATCAGTTAAAAACATTGAAATAGCTGATCACAAAACCATGATTTTTATTTAGTTGGCTAAGAAAATAAAAAAAAAAAAAACTATTTTCAAAATGCAAGTACTTAATACACTATTTGAACATTTCTTAAATTGCCAGGTCTTGCTTGTAAAAAAAAGTAAAATAAAATAAAAAACATAAAAAAATAAAAGTAAAGAACAATTTTTTTAATTCTAGAAAGGAGGTTCTGTTCATAATACACAGTATCAAATTTATCTTTGACTTCTTACAAAGTTATCTATACTTTATTTTTATTTACAAATATCAAGTTTAAAACTCCAATCAAATATCTCTGATCTTATTACTTTCAGTCCTACATTTTAACCATTGGGCTTATGTCACAAGTGCATTTTAAGTGTTGCCAAAATACAAAATGAACGACTTTGTGAAGAATGTTTCATGCACAGTTGACCTTGTGAGGATTGGTCGTTTCTGACGTTAATTCCCTATCACTTTTCTGGTTTTTTTTTTTTTCCTCTCTCATCCATTCATTATCTTAGCTTTTAGCTTTTTACTCTTTTTTTTTTTTTTTCTGTTTACAAACGGAATTGTTTATGTATACACTTGACTAAAAGACAAGTGTGAGTTGGCTAAAACCTCTTTATACAGGTGTGCAACACGGAATCCGTTTACACCTGCCTGACCATTTGGTATGTGTCCTAGATAAACAGAGTCTCAACTTTAGCATAGAACAGTTCTGCAGAGGTTTTAAACATGTCAATTGCTAACCTGGCTGGGGCATGTGCATGTAAGTTCAGTTATGTGGCATTGGATGAAACATTCTGTGCCGGTTCCATTTTAGTCACAAAGCATGAGCAGGTATGCAAGATCTAATTACTATTATGCACCTGTTCCTAAAGGTGTTTTTTATTTTTTATTTTTTTGTGGAAATTTGATCAAAAGACCTGTAATACTCAGAAACATAGGGAAGCTGAAGGCCTGAATGAATTGGTGTATACTGTATTCGATGTTATAAAATATGCATGAGCATAATGAATACACCCCCATTTCAGCAACTGTCCTGGGTATGACGATAAACTATGTCCAACAGCAAGGCCTCTGATCAGGAGGTTTTGAGGATTGTGGAATTGCTGGCATTCCCAGGTCCCCGCTATGGGCAAATAGTTGACAACCAAACTTGTGTAAAAATAGGTTTTAATACCAGAAATACTTTGTAATAAATAAAAAAAAATATTACCAGCAATAATTTTTAGAAGGAAAAATTATTATCAACAATATAAAGAAAAAAAAAAAAAGGAAAAAAATTTAGAATAAGAAAATCAAATAGAATTCTTAAAAGGGACCTTACCCATAATAACATAATGGACTATTCCATACGTAATAAATACTGCGCCTCAAGAGGAAGCAGGGAGTTCAGTTGAAGTCGGGCGGAGCTGACCAGCTGATTATTGATGATCGGTTGAACTCTCTTATTTTATTTGGGGAGGAACCGAACGAGGCTAAGACTGAGCCGAAGGGTGGAGTCTCTTTCGGGAGGTAATAGGACCCTGAACCCGTTTATACGGGTTCAAATGGGGGCATTTTTTTTATTGAGCTTTCATGGAGATCCCACGTTAAACCGGCCTTTGTGCCACATGATGCCCTCGTGGGGTGGGGGGTGACTAAATACCGTTCAGTCTGAAGTCTGGAGTGAAGTCCATCAAGAGTCAGTCAGTCAGAGCGAGTGAGTCAGTCGAATCAGAGGCAGTCCAAAACAGAGTCACGTTCAGACAATTACTACTAAACCTGATTGTTCGTACTAACACTTTCTACTTCTCTGTATATATTCCTGTTTGTAATATATCTGTGTTATTCCATATACGTGTTCGAGTTCTTCTTTATTGGTTCTATGTTGGACCATCACCATGGTACAAGGAACTGGACCATAACACATTCTTTGAAAAAAATATTACCAGCTATAGATTTCTTCAAGGAAAAATATTCCCAGAAACAGATTTTTGAAGAAAAACATTACCAGCAATAAAAATTTTGTTGGCATTAAATAACCCATTGAGGTTGATATGCCGTAAAACAAACCAAACCATTTCAGCAGAAAATGTTCAGGAAAAAGGTTCTTAGTTGATCTAAGCAGGTAATATTTAAAGCAAACTATCAGTACATTATGAAAACACTTTAACTATAACAGAAAAACAAAGGGTTGATAAACCATAGAAAATAAATGGATGAATGAATCAGGTTTGCTCCTCCAGCTGACTAAGATTTGACCTGTCAGGAGATAAACTCCGACTAGTGTAGCTACTCCAGGTCATAGGAGAATGTAAACCACTCCATTCTATAATTATCTATGCTTTTTATTTTCTGGCATACTTAGATATCCTTTAGATCCCACCCCCCACCAGGTAAAACTATGAAAGACAAGTTTTTCCTTTCCTGAAGCTTGTGTACAGTTTATTTTTTTTGAATTTGGTGGGGTTCTTTTAAATATATTGCTTTTTAAAATTTTTTTTTTTTTTTTTCTTTTAATAAATTTTTTTTTTGTCAGTAAAAAAAATTTAAAGACTTTGTAATTGATAAAATATGAAAAATATAAAAAAAATTATATAATTCTATATATATATATAAACACACATTTACAAAAACACACACAGAAAACTGTGTGTGTTTTGAAGGGTTCAAAAAAAAAAATTTTACAATAATTACCAAGAAATTTAAATATATATACAGATATAGTATCAACCCAACCACCTTTTGAAAAAAAAATTCTTGAATATGATTTGTATTTACAAAAGATATTTTATTAGAAAAAAAATGTAATAATTGTATTAGAATGCATTTTTAGACATGTAAACATTTTGAAATAAAAAAGAAAATAAATCAACAAGTTATTTGAATTTCAACATTTTAATGAAATTTAAGAAATTTTAACAACAATGTTTTAACCTTGGGTATCAATTTTAGTTTAATGATAAGATAAATGAACAAATAGTAAGTATTTAATAAAGAATTAAATTTTTCAAATTTTTATGAACAATTCATCAGAGACTGAAATTTTTTTTTATTCATATCTCATTCTCTGATGAAAGAAAACAAATTGAAAAAAACAGTTATTGATAAAAATTTCTGATTTGTTCTTTATTTTAATATTCTGTTAGATAAATAATCCATATTTGAATCCAATTTGATCCCATACTTATATATATATATATATATACAAAACTATTCCGAATATGAATTTAAATAAATGAAGGATTCTTCAAATTGAGGAAACAGATAATTTAAGCATATGAGATTTGTTTATAGTGGTGAAGGTTTCTTATTTTCTATTATTTTCTTTTTTGAACATCACAAATAATAGACAAAAACAAGAAAAAATTTATCAACATTT